TATCCTTATTTCAAGGCAAGTATATACTCCGTAAATACTTATTTAATTAAGATCACACATTATACTCGTCCTTTAGAAGATTTTGACTATTCATATGTACTCTTTATAGAATAATTTACATATTATTGACATATCTCAGAGGTTAGATCGTTTTTTGTATATCTGATGACTGAAAATTTGATGTTAAATCTGTTGAAGATGGAGCCTTGTTTGGAATGCAGGAGTATATACCCGATCGGGTATGTTGGGTTACCCGATCGGGTATGAGGTGTTTGATGGGTCGAGTATTTCTCTGGTTTCTACACTCGATCGAGTATTGATCATTACTCGGTCGAGTATGCGTGTAAGGGTTACTCGGGTTATATTCTGGAGTTTATACTCGATCGAGTATGGAGGTATACTCGGTCGAGTATGTGTAAAAACACTACTCGGGCAGAATTCTGGAATCTATACTCGATCGAGTATGTATGTATACTCGATCGAGTATACGGGAAAAATTAATGACGGGATTAATTTTTGGGCCTGCGGCCTTAACCCTTGTTTAGGCTTTCTTAAACCTATTTAAACATCCCTAATGTATCTGTAAACACACCAGACGCTGGAATAATAATACATCTCTCTCTCGTTCGCCGTGGACTAGCGTAATCACACCGATTGCGTGAACCACGTAAATTCTTGTGTTCTTGCTTTAAATTTATCGTTTATCTTAGCCTAATCGTGATAATTAACAACTGGTATCAAAGCTATGGCTGACGAAGGGAAGGTTAAGATCGATAAATTTGATGGTCAAGATTTCGCTTTTTGGAAGATGCAAATCGAGGATTATCTCTACCAGAAAAAGCTTCATCTACCCTTGTCTGAGAACAAACCAGAGACGATGGCGGAGGCGGAGTGGAACCTGTTGGACCGACAGGCTCTTGGTGTGGTGAGGTTGTCGTTGGCGAAAAACGTTGCTTACAACATCGTCAACGAGAAGACAACGTTTGGACTGCTCAAGGCGTTATCCAACATGTACGAGAAACCCTCAGCGGCCAACAAGGTTTTCTTAATCAGACAGTTGGTGAATACAAGAATGAAGGAAGGTGCATCCGTAACAGATCACATCAACGAGTTTAATTCAATCATATCCAGGTTAGGCTCGGTTGAGATTAAATTTGATGATGAAGTTCAAGCACTACTTTTGTTATCATCTTTGCCCGATAGTTGGTCCGGTACAGTCACAGCAGTTAGTAGTTCGGCTGGAACCACTAAGCTTACCTTTGAAGGTATTCGTGACTTAATCCTTGGTGAGGATATCCGGAGGAGAAGTTCGGGGGATAGCTCCAATAGTTTGTTGAGTACTGAAGACAGGGGCAGAAAATCCACTAAAGGGGGTAACAAGAAGGGAAGATCAAAGTCGAGGAAGAGGGGTCAATCCAAGAACAGGAAGGACATCAATTGTTGGAATTGCAAGGAGAATGGACACTTCAGAAATCAGTGCCCAAAAGCCCCAGCAGACAAAGGCAAGAAGGAGGTGAATGTGGCAGAGGATTATGAAGATGTTCTAATTTGCAGCGTTGAGAATTCAGTTGAGTCCTGGATCATGGATTCAGGTGCGTCGTTTCATGCTTGTCATTGCAGGGATTTGATGAAAAATTTCAGGCCCTACGGCGGAAGAGTTCGTTTGGCAGATGATAAATCCCTGGAGATCACGGGTATTGGGGATGTTGATCTCAGTACCACTTTGGGTACAACCTGGAGGCTGAAAGATGTCAGGTATATTCCAGACCTGAAGAAGATGTTGATCTCAGTAGGACAGCTTGATGAGGAAGGCCATAACGTTAGTTTTGGCAACAAGCAATGGAAGGTAACAAAAGGAAAACTGGTCATTGCTCGTGGGCAAAAGCATGGTACACTGTACATGGTTGAAGTGTCTACAGATGGAGCAAACGCAGCAGTTGAAGATACAGGGATCTCTACTTTGTGGCATCAAAGACTTGGGCACATAAGTGAGAATGGAATGAAGATGTTGTCTTCAAAGGGCAAAATCCCAGATTTGAAGAATTCAAAGTTGACCTTTTGTGAGCCATGTGTTCTAGGCAAACAAAAGAGGGTAACCTTTGTGAAGACAGGACAACAACTCAAGACTGAGCGGCTGGAGTTGATTCATTCAGATGTCTATGGACCTACAAAGGTCTCTTCAATTGGAGGTTCCCGCTACTATGTTACATTCATTGATGACTCTACACGAAAGGTATGGGTTTATTTTCTTAAAAATAAATCCGATGTCTTTAACACTTTTAAGAAGTTCAAAGCTGCAGTTGAGAATGAAACAAATCTCAAAATTAAGTGTTTAAAGAGTGATAATGGGGGTGAGTATAGTAGCACAGAGTTTGTAGAGTATTGTGCTGAACAGGGGATCAGAATGCTGAAGACGGTTCCAGAAACACCACAGCAAAATGGTGTTGCAGAGAGGATGAACAGAACATTGAATGAGAGGGCCAGAAGCATGAGATTGCATGCAGGACTTCCCAAGATGTTCTGGGCCGATGCGGTGAACACAGCAGCCTATTTGATCAACAGAGGACCCTCATCTCCCATTGGTTTCAAAATTCCAGAAGAGGAATGGAAAGGTCGTGAGGTATCTCTTAATCACTTGAAAGTTTTTGGTTGTATTTCTTACGTCAAAGTCAGAGATGCAGATAGTGACAAGCTTGAGGCAAAGGCAAAGAAGTGTATCTTTATTGGGTACGGGTCGGATGACATGGGCTACAGGTTCTGGGACAACCAAAGCAAGAAGGTTATCAGAAGTAGAGATGTCACCTTCAACGAGAATGCCCTTTATAAAGATGGTCTTGCAGCAGGAACAAGCAAAGGCAAGCAACCAGAAAACAAACAGCAAGTGGTGTTTGAAGGGATGACTGAAGATGACATAGCACAACCGGTCGGTTGTGATGAGACGGCTGGAGGCTCAGGGAGCAGTGGGAGCTCAGGAGATACAGGAATGTCTGAAGATAGTGGGAGTGATGAAGACAGTGGGAGTTCAGAGGCAGCTACTCCACACATCAGACAGTCCACCAGAATCAGGAGACCTCCTAACAGGTATTCTCCTTCAGCAAATTATCTGTTGCTGACCGAGAATGGAGAGCCAGAATCTTACTCAGAGGCGTTGACTGTGAGAGATTCCATACAGTGGAAGAAGGCCATGGAAGATGAGTTAGATTCACTTGACAAGAACCAAACTTGGTCCTTAGTCAAGTTACCACCGGGAAAGAAAGCATTGGAGAACAAGTGGGTTTTCAGAATCAAAGATGAAGCAGATGGGAGCAAAAGATACAAGGCCAGGCTAGTTGTCAAGGGGTTCCAACAGAAGAAGGGGGTTGACTACAATGAAATCTTCTCCCCGGTTGTGAAGATGACCACTATCAGGTTGATTCTTGGTATCGTTGCAGCTGAAAATTTACACTTGGAGCAGCTGGATGTGAAGACTGCTTTTCTTCATGGCAACCTTGAAGAAGACATTTACATGGCTCAACCGATAGGTTTCTCAGTGAGTGGTAAGGAAAAGTTGGTGTGCAAACTCAAGAAAAGTCTATACGGACTGAAGCAAGCTCCCAGACAGTGGTACTTGAAGTTTGACAGTTTCATGCAGCGGAATGGGTACACTAGATGCAAGATGGACCATTGCTGTTACTTGAAGAAATTCAAGTCATCATACATTATTCTTCTTTTGTATGTTGATGACATGTTGGTGGCTGGATCAAACATGCAGGAGATCAACGAGCTCAAGAAGAAGTTGTCCGAAGAATTTGAGATGAAGGATTTAGGGGAGGCGAGACAGATTCTTGGGATGAGCATAGTCAGAGACAAGGTGGAAGGTACTTTAAAGCTTTCACAGCAGAAGTATATTCAGAAAGTCCTTGAGAAGTTCAGAATGACGGATGCCAAGCCAAGGAGTACACCTTTAGGGAGTCAGCTGAAACTCTCCAAGCAGCAGTCTCCAAAGACCAATGAAGACAAAGATGAGATGGCTAAAGTTCCTTATGCATCAGCCGTTGGCAGCTTGATGTACGCAATGGTGTCAACAAGGCCGGACATTGCTCATGCAGTGGGAGTTGTTAGCAGGTTCATGTCGAATCCAGGGAAGGAACATTGGGAAGGAGTCAAGTGGCTGCTACGCTACTTGAAAGGCACTTCTGAAACTGGTCTTTGTTTCAGGAGGAATGGAGTAATTCTAGAAGGATTTGCTGATGCTGATTTGGGGGGCTGTTGTGATTCCGGGAAGAGCACTACGGGTTACATATTCACAATTGGAGGTACGGCGATCAGTTGGATGTCTAGACTTCAAAAGAGTGTGGCTCTTTCGACCACAGAAGCAGAGTATATGTGTGATACCTTGGAAATTTGAAATAAAAATAAATAAACAAATCAGATAAGTTATATCTGATCAATCAAATGAAAGTAATACCAAAATATATTTTTATTATACTTGGTGTATAAAAATATACGCACACTACATGCAATAGAATTAAACACTTATGCGGCATCAGAAAAATAAAATAAAATAAAAATAAATCAGATAAAATATATCTGTCAGAGTAAATGGAAATAAATAAAATAATTACTAGTAACTTTATAAACATTAATGAAATAAAAGAAATATAATACAAATGGATAAACTATAAGTATATATAAGTAATATACTATATATATAACTACATATAAGTAATATATATATATAGTACGTACATGCATATATATATAAACACACACATATAAACACACACATATTAATACGGAGTACATATTTTGATAAAAAAAATAATAGCAAAGATCTGGAGGACATCTTCACATGCCAGGAAACAGCTTCATGACTTCACACCTACAATATTATGTGTATACATTGAATTGTGAATAGGTATATATCTTATCAAAATAATTCACAATAATTCACACAACTCGTCCAGCTCCATAAGGGTTGATCTACAGCTATAAATACAGCTCCATTGACATTCTAAATCACTACAAAACTGAAGAAAACGAGTAGAGCAAATATATATATACTTACTCGCCGGAAATGTACACATATATATATTTACGTAAGAAATTGCCTATAAGCAAGAGAGGAGGGTCGTGAGAGGTCTAGGAATACTTCCCAATAAATTCCAGACCGATTCGTAGTCACCGGAGCATCCTAGAGGTCGCCGGAGTTGCAAGCCGTGGAAACGGGTCTTCAGAAAAGACACGATTTTGCCGTAGATAGGGGTGGCGGAGCTTCTCCTCGACGTGAGGATCATTTTGCAACTTGAATCGTCGAAATCCGTTACCTGTAAGTAAAGTTATCGCTCGCCGGAGTTTTCGGGATTCCGGTCGCCGGAATCGCGACCTGGAGAAGAGCTGGGAAGGAGACAACCCAGTCTTCTTGGGCCGGGTCGCGAATTTGGGCCGGTTCGGCCCGTTTTCAATAAAAAATTAAAAATAAAATAGTAAATGAAATAAATAAAATCTGGAAAAATATAAATTAAATACCTGGTATAAAAATACATATTCGGACCAAGAATAATTGAAAAATAATATTTGTAGCTATTTTTAATTGATTTAATTGTAATTGGGCCAAGTTGTACACATTTAGTAAATAATTAACTAAATGACGAAAATAATTATGAAATAAATATGGGAGCAAGCTAGATTAAATATATGACTAACTAGGACATTTGGGACCATTTATAATTAATAAAAATTATAATTAGCATATTCAATTGTAATTAAACCGGTTAATAGATATATGAAATTAAGTGAATAAATAAAGGAAATAATTCTAAAATAAATATCTGGACAACCTAGGTCAAGTATAGACCCAAACTATAGTATGGATGATTAGTAATTTATAAAAGTGATGATTAAGTTATTTAATTTAATTGAGCCATATAAACTAGTTAAGTAATTAAATAAGGAAATTTTGATATTAATGGTGAAATAAATAAATCACTAAGATTGAAAATAATGTTCTGGACTAAAAATGATGTTTGTAATAAAATAAGGAAAAGAAAATAAAGTTGGGTTATAAATGAATGACTATATTTGGACTTAATAAATAAATTATTGAATTAGTTGACTAATTAAATTAGCGTGATTAAATTAATAATTATTACCCTTGATTATTAGTGATTTGGACTCCATATAAATTATTAAACTATTTGAACTCATAAAAATTAGTTGATGAATATAAACAAATTAATTAAGTAATGTGTACTTAATAAGTTAGTTAATTGACTTCATTGGACTAGTTTAACTAAATCAATTAGTTTAATGGATAAATTAGTTAATTTATAGACTTGATAACATTTCTGGAATTTATATTAAAAATAGAAAATTAAAACGAGATTAGAATTTGATTATTGGACTTAATTGAATTAGATTAACGTATTTAGCTATATTGATATAATTAAACTTATTTATTTGATTTAGTTAGTTCAATTAAATTAGTGAGTCAAATAAATAAAACTGGAGGATTGGATAAATTAATTTAATTGGGTTAGTTAGTATAAATAAACTATTGAACTAATTAAAGTTGTTATTGAGATTAGATTATCATTAATGATTATTATTTCGAATTACTGCCTAAGTCAAGTTATTATTAAAAGGGTTATTAAATAAATTATATAAATTATGTAAACTGAATTTTGAACTGAAATTGATTGTTTAAATTCGAAATAATGAAATTATTATGTAGTTAATATAATTGGACTAGTTAACTATTTAACCAAACAAATTAAGAAAAACCGAGTTGGGTTATTATAATTAAAGAAAATAATAAGAATGAACTGGAAATAAACAGTTAGTAAGATTTATTAATTTAATATTTATATTTAAAGAAGGAATTATGAAGTTAAAGTAATTAAAGGTTGGATATAAAAGAAATAACGAAATAATAGAATAGTTATTGATTTAGAATTTTGATCAATATTAGAAGGAGAATTCAAGTGAAGATCAAGCTAGAGATTTTATTAAGGAGATTATCACAATTTAAGGTAAGTTCTATGTCAACCAAAATGTTTTGCCTCGTACTTATATGTATGCAATATTTGCACTATGTGAACTATTTATGAATTGGAAATTATTTGTTTGACATGGATCGAATATTCTGACTATATGAATATTGGTGGATTATTACCTTTTATGGATGATTAAATGTATATTCTTTTTATTAAAGAATATTGGTGGATTTATATTTATTACAAAGGATATTTTGAGAAAATGTGACAATAATGATTTGGGGAAAACTTAAAGTTTTCATAATATATATTCTTACGTCTCGAGAGAAACACGAGGCGTGGGTGGTTAGGGCTACTACTACTTTTGGTGAAATTTATTTGGGTCGGTAACCAGTCCGACAATGACATACTCCGGTAGACATTCCGGGCTTTTATTTGAGGATCAAAGATCCTTTGGTGGTCGTAGTAGTAGTTACCTAATTTACCCTTGGACAATGTCCATTGTGAGTAGGTGGTAGAAAACATCCTGCCTACTTGGGTTTCTTACTACTCGGAGGGCTTGGAATCCCTTTTAGAGGGTGTGCACACTTAAGGTAGAAATTCAGCTTCCAATTGGTGGTCGGTGGGAGCCGGAATTCCGGGATGAGTCGTAGATAACAACGACTCATTGGGCTCGAGGAATCTTGAGTTTCGCCCACTCTTAAAAGAATATAAAGTATTACTTTTGGAGGAATTGAAGGATGATATTATCTATTGTGGAAATTATTTTATGACATTAAACCATTTTGGAAATATGAGAGACTACTTTTCGATATATATACATATACAAAAACCTATTTTCCAAATTATATTATTTTACGGGTTCGGGTGGAATCTTACTTAGCTCTAAAGCTAATTTTTGTCTCTTTTTCTCTTTTTCTCTTTGCTCTATTGTACAGATGATTATGATTATGAAGATTGATGTACTTGCTGCCCGAGTGTTCCGCTAGTTGCACACGTTTGATTAATTATTGTTGTTTAAATTTGTAATCCATAAACTTGTTTTAAGCTTTATCCAATGGCTACTTGAATTTATGGTGGATAGCCTGTGCACTCAATCATGTATAGGTTGAGTGTGGCAGTGACACACCTGTTTTTCCATTAAAGACTTCCGCTGTACTCTAAATATGTTTTATAATAAAGATGTTTTCATTTCAAAATGTTATTTTATTTTGGTGGGAAAAATGGGGGTGTTACAATATGGCCATTGCTGAAGCGGCCAAAGAGTTGATATGGTTGAAGAACTTTCTTTCGGAGTTGGGCATGGAACAGGGGGATTGCGGTCTATACTATGACAACCAGAGTGCTATTCATCTCGCGAAGAATCCAGTGTTTCACAGCAGAACGAAACACATCAAGATGCGATACCATTTTATCCGAGAGTTGATTGAAGACGGTATCATAAACTTGAAGAAGATCCTTGGTACGAAGAATCCAGCAGACATGCTTACCAAGGTGGTGACAAAGGAGAAGTTGAAGCTATGCATGGCTTCAACTGGCCTTCCAGATACTTGATGGGAAGGTGTGAACGAGAGATAGAGATCAGGGGTGTTGCAGAGGATACATGTTCTTGGATGGCAGATGACTGTTGAACAAGCCTCCAAGTGGGAGATTGTTGAAGATGGAGCCTTGTTTGGAATGCAGGAGTATATACCCGATCGGGTATGTTGGGTTACCCAATCGGGTATGAGGTGTTTGATGGGTCGAGTATTTCTCTGGTTTCTACACTCGATCGAGTATTGATCATTACTCGGTCGAGTATGCGTGTAAGGGTTACTCGGGTTATATTCTGGAGTTTATACTCGATCGAGTATGGAGGTATACTCGGTCGAGTATGTGTAAAAACACTACTCGGGCAGAATTCTGGAATCTATACTCGATCGAGTATGTATGTATACTCGATCGAGTATACGGGAAAAATTAATGACGGGATTAATTTTTGGGCCTGCGGCCTTAACCCTTGTTTAGGCTTTCTTAAACCTATTTAAACATCCCTAATGTATCTGTAAACACACCAGACGCTGGAATAATAATACATCTCTCTCTCGTTCGCCGTGGACTAGCGTAATCACACCGATTGCGTGAACCACGTAAATTCTTGTGTTCTTGCTTTAAATTTATCGTTTATCTTAGCCTAATCGTGATAATTAACAAAATCATTGTGTAAAATTAAGGTACCATAATAGTTTTAATAACCTACATACGGAGTATATTTTATGAATTACATCAACTCAAAAGTTTTGTGATTATCATCACTTACGGTTTTTATTTTCTTTATAACCCCTAATATATCAACGATTCTTAATTGTTTTATCTTCTTTATTGAACCAAAAAATGATACCTGGATTGTTTTTGTTTTCTTGCTTGTAGGAATTTATTATTAAATAACATCAACATCTCAAGGTAAAACTTTAAGAGAAGAATAGTGAAGTAAATAAGTAATCATAATAGCTAACCATAATTTAGATGAAATTTTTAGTATTAATGTATAATTATTAAGACATAAAAATCAGCTAAGTTTCTTTTCTTACGGTGTGTCATGTGTGTTGAAGGTTCTTGAATGAGAACTTTTGATGCTGATGAAGCTCTACATATGCAGTGATGGGGCGGCTAAATTGAAGATGCACATAGTAGGTAATTAATCATGGTGTAAGAGGCCAATTGATTTCTTCGGTCGTAATCTCCAATTCCATCTAGAAGATAATGAATGCTGAGTTTTTTTCACGTTATTCATTCAAACCATTATGCGCCGGGCCGGTTCGGCTTTTGGGTGACCCGAGCCCGCACCGGGAACCCCCGGACCGGGCCTACCCGGAACGGTCACTGGCCAGGTCACCGGGCCGGTTCAGCACAGTACTGGTCCCGGGCCGGTTTCGAGTCCAACACTAGGACAAAGCATGGGGCGTGGCTAGGAGTAACGGGAGATGACGAGTATGTGACAATTTTTTTCGACAATCAAATATTTCCTCCGTCCCGCAAAGATGTTCACAGTTTAAACTACACACATATTAAGGCAATAAACTTAACATGGGGTAAATTTTACTGTTCAGACATTGTTTTGACACTGTTTCGACACTGTATGACACTGTTTGACACTGTTATGCACTGTTTGACACTGTTTTGATATAGGATAACTTTCCATTTAGGGAAAGAGGAACTTCTTTTTGGGACTGCTAAAAAGGAAAGTGGTAACTTCTTTGCGGGATGGGGGTAGTAACTAATAAAAAATGATGTTTGTATGCACTCTTATACCCACTTTTGTATCCACATATGTTTGTGAAGTATTTTTTTCCCCTGTGAGCCCCGGTTCACAGACAATATTTTGCACAAACAAAATATTGTTTGTGAATCGGGTTCATAGACAAAAAAAACATTTCACAAACATGGTGGGTATAAGGTGGTATAATAATGAGTACATCAATCATTGTTGATAACTAATTATTCATTAAATGATACCGAGGAAACAAGTGAATGAATAACCTAAGGCTACACATTAAAAAAAACCTAAGACTACGATGAGATAAGGCACATAGTAGAAAAGATCTCATGAATTCTTCTGTATCACCAACTCCACAATAATATAGTCTAATCTAAGTGTCTTGTTGTCTTTGCTACTTCAAAGAGAAAAAAAATTACAACTGCAATATCCAACTTCCCCAACCACTAGAAATGGTGAATTGATTTGATCGGCAACCAACAAAAGAAGCTCTATCGAGCAAAAATTGTCTGAATCATTGGTTTGTTCAGTCACCGAAAAGGTGATCCGGCTATTTCTCCCAGAGTAAGGCGGTGGTTCAGGAACAGGGCCAAGAAGTGAGGCCTCAGAAAAACTAGGTCCAACAAGCTTTACCACCCATGCACAACGGAAATTCACATCCCTTCGATCACATTGACAAGGAATGCACAACCTCTGGACATCGCTAAGAGAAGAACTTATCTCACGCTCACTTGACGCAGATAAAATTCTCCACCAAAGAAGAAGTCTCACCAAAACCATAACTCTCCAAGGTAAAAATCAAATAAAATTGGAAGCATAGCAGAACCCGTCACTTTATCCTTCAAAGAAGATGTTAATGGCAGCTGCCAATCATCCCTCTACGGCTGCTGATTAGAGAAAAGTTGGACTGTCCCTAGGTTTATTGTCGTCCGACTCTCCAACCAGTGTCTTAATCTGTATTGTTAAGATCTGGAATTCAATCCGGAAAGGTCAACCTGATAGGAGAAGTAGCCCAGATCTTAATGTAACATTTTATTTATTCGCAATTTTTCCTTGTGAGACTTCAACACACATTCTCATGACCAGACTTTTCATATGGATTTAGTCATCATTCATTTTTCTGTATGTCCGTCATTGTCGTCTTTTATAATCATTGTCATTTTTTACAATGGCATCACATCATGGTTATAGATCGATTTGACTCTGATATCCTACTAAGATCTGAGATTCCATAAAAAGATCATTCTCATATGAAAAGTGGTCCATATCTTAATATAGCACATATAATCTTAATTTTTAAGGACTTTTTTTTGTGAATTAAATATTGTTTTTTAGCTTGATAGCTTTACCTCATCCACTATTCTTATTTTTAAATATTTAGTACATCAGGTAGAGTATGCGAGAAACTTTTTAAACATTAAGCGAGGATGAGGAAAGTTTTAAGATATAGAGCAGGGGTGGGGGAGTGAACCCCGCCCCAACCCGTCCATTGTCATCCTTGGACATGTACGTTTTTTATTAATTACTTCACACTACATCCGTATCATTTAAATTTTTCTTAATCTTTTACTATTCTTTGATCAATATAATTTTTTTTTAATCTTTTACTTTATATATCCCCTTTATCGAATTTGAGTTTTTCTTTATTACTTTTTTTTTTGGAAGAATGTAAATTTTGTTACTTAAAAGTTTAGTTATGGGCAGACATCATTTAATTTTATGAATGAGTCAAAAATCTAAAGAATATTTCAATCAAGTACTAGTCTAGAGTATGAGAGTATCTTGAAACTTCATAACGAGTTTCAGTTAACCCTTCAAAAGTTTTAAGGTGAAAAACCGCAAATCCAAAACAACCATTCTTGGTGTACACATTTTTATACCCATCAGTACACGCATGTGTCTGTGGGAGTTTTTTTTTGTCTGTGAAGCGCGGTCCACAGACATAAGTTGGCTTGTTTTGTCTGTAGAAAATTTCACAGACAAAACAAACCAGCTTTTGTCTGTGAACCACACCTCACAGACAAAAAAAAACTCTCACAGACACATGCGTGTACTGATGGGTACAAAAACGTGTACAAAAGGAATTTTTCAATCCAAAAAGGGGGTTAATTTTCATTCTCGAATCTCGAGTCGAATGTCCAGCATTATTTTGTAAAAAAAAAAAAGTTTTTCTCGTACGAGTTTCCCTTTTCTTCCCTGTGTTTTAAAAGGTTATTGTGTTTCTATGATAAAAAAAAAAAAGGTTATTGTGTTTCTCTCTCTATCGTACTCAACTGCCGCTCCGTGTTCGACTCGCGTTTTTAGCAGCCTGAGCACCTATCACGAAGAAAACCCGTTGAGAGAAAGAGAACTCTAGAGATAATATTCACGCGTAACACGCTATGATGATGACGATAGAGACAAATCGATCAACCATCTTTTGATCAGTATATATTATTGCAAAATTGATTCTTTCCTTCAGGGGTTGTGGAAATCGAATTGTCCTGTCACTTTCGCTTCTCAAAACGAGATCTTTCAGTTTGGGTTTGTGGCGGGGGAATCCTCTGATTCTTTACTGTTCGTCGTCGATTTGTCTTTGGAGGATTCTGGGCAAGTTCGGGTTGCCGGAATTGAATTGGGTGGTTTTGGCGTTTAAGATGAGAGACGTCGTCCTTCTCTGTAGGTTTCTGCTGTAATATGGAAGTGTGTTCAGTGATATATATACGCATACGAAAATGTCGCTTTACATTGGTAGAGAAGCTTCAAAGGTTCGTCTTTTTGTTTGAATAATACATTGTTTTTCTATGATTTCGAAAAAGATGGGCTTTTCTTGATGTACTCTGGTTTTTTATTTCTGAGAGAAGCTATGGAAGAGAATCTGTGCAGAGACTGTAACAGAGATCAAACTTCTTGCTGAGAATTGGAAGTATCTTCTTGGGGGTTTAATTTGTCAGGCATGCATCTTCTCCCTTGTCCACACTTTAAATTTTATGGGTTTTAATCCTTTTTATCTGTAAATTCAAACTTTCTTTGGTTATTAATCCAAGATTCAGTTTTTGCTTAGTGTCCTATGGCTGCTTATTTAGGTTAAATCAGTAAAATCTGTTGATGCCTTTAATCTTTTCTTCTAGTTATTGTGCTTTGGATAGATCATAGATATGATTTATGTGATTTGAACTGTCTCTCTTATATCTTCAGTACATCCATGGTCTGGCTGCTCGAGGGGTTCATTACATACATCGCCCGGGGCCTATACTACAGGATGCTGGGTTCTTTCTTCTTCCTGTGAGTTTTGCCTTCCCCATGTGGCTGATTAGTTCTGCTTGGGAGAAGATTCTTGCTCATTTTACCTTTGGTTAAAAATCATAGGAACTTGGTCAAGACAAGGCTTACATCAGTGAAACAGTTTTCACTTTCATCTTTACGTCCTTTTTCTTGGTGAGTCATCCTTTTTATCTTTTTCTTAATTACTTGGATTTGTTATTAGTGAAATGATACCAATTTATCTCAGTGTATATTTTATTTCTCACTTATCATTGACTTTTTAATAATGTGTTTCAACTATGCTACAGTGGACTTTCCATCCATTCATTTTAAAGAGCAAAAAGATCTACACGGTGCTAATATGGTGCAGGGTTTTGGCTTTCTTGGTCGTGAGTTTCTGTTCTCCTTGTACAATTACAAAAAACCACTTGTTATGGTCCTTCCTTCCACATATAATTTCAGTTTCCGTACATTTTATTGTTGATTTTTGCCTGATATGTGGCTGGAATGGACCAAAATGTCAATAATCATTTTCATACACCAAAAGGGGAATAACTGGAAATTATTGATAAAAAATGAGATTGATTTAATAGTCACCAGACCAAAAAATGGATTTTTTCTACTAACTGGAGTAGTTTGG